TGCTGCTCTATCCTCAGTTCCTGACAGTTAGTGTTTAATGACTTAACAATCCAATGATCAATATGTATTTCCTTTGAACTAATGACTAATTGTGTTGATGAGTAATGAGGTACCCGTTTGGGAATGGTGTTAGGAGACAGGGGTTTTTACGGTTTATAGATGTTTCCTTCTAGGAAGACAGGGGGGGAGATTATTTTTTATACGTATAATAATTATTACTGCTACATCAAGCTTGTGATATAAATTACCACCTAAGTATTCCGACAGTTAGCATTAGCTGTCCGCTTTATGGCCGGCACAGCAGTCTTTCTCGTGACTGTAATAACGGGGGCCTCTGAGACCTGACTATCTTTGGGTTCACTGACATTCCATCGTGAGCTCTCAAGCCCCTCCATGATATATCGGTCGATAACCGCATCACCCATTTCAACATCGGGGTTCGTGGAGTTAGAGTCTTCGAAGAAGACTATTATCCTTTCGGTCACGTCCAGCTCCATTTTTCGCCCGTCTATTGAGCTCAATGGTATGTTCTTTTTTGCCAAGCGCTTTTCCAGCCTGGTTCTCGCTCTATCAATGGTTCTTTGAAGGCGAAAAGGTCGCGATGATTTGGCAGGCCCCGGAGACATGTTGGAGATCCGGGGTATTGCTACTGAGAGAATTCGGATTAGTGTAAGTGTATGTGAGTCGGAAGGGAACAGTAACAGTAATATGGTGTCTAATCAATTCTCTCACGAATATTAAGGACTTTTAGCTTCGATATTATGTCATAGCTAGATAGCTGCATACGCAATTAAAATCTGATGGAAAAAAATTATCATGATGGAAACGGGACGTGTACAAGGGATGAAAAGGGGAAATCTACATCGAGGAGATGCCAGCAGAGACGAATTCTTCACCTTCCAGTGGTGCCGGTATATTATGGTTATGAGGTTATGTACAATGTCTTGGAGTTTGGAGCTTAATAGTCTGCAGAGCTGAGGGTAGAGCAAGGTGTGGAGTTTAAATTAATTAGAATCTATATGTACATCTATGTGTATATAAAAGAGATGAAGCGGCCTTATCTATCTCTACAAAAGAAGTGTTCCTAAGACCATACGCACGAGCCTCGGCTAATCCCTCGCCGTGCCTTGCTAGCCACACTTGGTTTAGTTCACGTAATGTCTCATTGCTTACACATGCCCATCCATATTGTATATCACAACACGGTATAATCGCTCAGTTTGCTCTGCATATCTGGGATAGCCAAGAAGAATCGCATCCGAATCGAAGTCGAAAGCAACCTCATACACATCTCCATTTGAAAACTTCTCGACAATGCCTCTCTCATCATTATCATCTGAGTCCTCAACCCATCTCTAACCATGCATCATCTCGCTTCAACGACCAATAAAGAAGTTGCTCAAATTACATACAGGAGCTTGCCCCATTAATCTCCAGCCATCTCTCATTAAATATTTACGACGCTATTTATACCCGCAAGGAGGAAATCAAGTCGACAAATACAAAGCCTGGGTCTTGGCTTTGTGGGAACTATTGCTGTAATGGGACAAACAACTTGAGGAAGAACAGGCGCCTGAGATGTAGAGCGAGAGGGGGAATAGGTCTCTGAAGAGCATGCTGAGACCGATATTTTCGAAGAGTTTTCAACTTTGGATTTTTTGTGGGCGCCAAGACCGAGATTGCGGCTAATTAGCCAGGAGGGCTTCTTTTGTCGATGAGTCAACAGCACTCCACAGCGCCCTGGACGGCACAAAAGAAGCTAGGCTAAGTTACTATACAGTAATCACGCTCTGTCAAGACTTTTCTGACATTTCAGCACGACCTTCGGGAAGGAGTTGGAAGGAGGGTAGAAAGGCAGAGTGTGAATTCTCCGAGGTACCCACAAGTCTACAGCGCCCAGCTGGCCGGCCTCTTCGAACGCTTCAGAAGGGGCAATATGTCTTCGTATTTATTCCTAATGTCGGTATGTGAAGAACCCCGCACCCAGTGGTTTTTGCGATTTTTCCCGGCTGCCATACACCCGCAAATGGCCATCGTTTCGTTGGCTGGAGAGGGGAGTTAATGAAGGGCTAAGGGCTCCTCTTAGTGTATGATCGAATGAGGACTTGTGAGGCGTGGTACTATTTGAGGGGAGCTGTATGAGAGGCATAGTCATGGACTCAGACAGGACAATAAAATGAATTAATAATACACCGAGGAGATCATACAGATTCCTAATGACGACAACAACAGAACGATACGAATTGGAGGTGCAAGGCTAGGATAACAATGAGATCTGAAACAGCACTTATGTTTTGGAGTCAAGAATGATGCTAAGGGCTCGGGCGCGTGGTGGCCGAGTCTGAGGAGGAATTTGCGCTACGGCGTCTATACAGGGGGTTTCTGAACGGTCAGGCTTGGTATGATTCAACACAAAAGTGAAGTTGGAAGTAGCTCGGTCGTTAAGGTGGAACGAGGTTTACCGCATTCATGTAGTAGTAGTCGAGCTGATCCAGCCTAGCCCCACTCGTTCTCAAGCTCCCATAGGAGTGCGGCAAGTGCCATTTGCCTAGCACGTTAAAGTACAAACAATGCAATAAATTTTCAGATAGCACTCGAGCTTAATCCTAATGGCATCTAACTTCTTCCGTGCGAACCCATCGGAGGGAAAAATGAGAAAACCCCATGGTTAACTGAGCGTGTTGTCGTCACCCTACAAATCTGATGTCACTGTGAAAGAATGTGGTGAGGGCATATCCCTTAGTATTCATCAAAAAAGATTTACTGTATAAATTTTCAAATCAGCCAACAAGGTTTAGTAATCATTCATAGTCATAGAATCGACAGGGACTTGAATCAAATTCTACTATATTCTATTCTGCTGTGGTGCCTGTGTCTTACGCATAGTTCTTCGACTCATGTACGCAGCGAAGTAAGTTATTACCCCCACTATGGGCAGCGTACCATTCTTTATTCTGCAACTGCGTCATACTGGTAATTACTTTGGCACAAAGCAACGAAAATTATGGGTGCCTCATTGATTAGTCCAAGTCCAGGCTCCTACCGCGAAAATCCTTATGCAATTAGGTCTATGAGTACGAGTTTTCTTGTGACCTCTAGCTCGCAGGAGGCGGGGCCTCAAGGATTTTGAAATTTCCGGTGAAACATCACAGTTTTGATCCGATCGTTGGCCACTGTTTATGATTGCTAATAAGAGTCTTCAACTTTGTAGCCTCACTTAAATTTTGCCATGTTACACACGCAATAAAACGCGTTAATTGATTCTGCAACCCGATTGAGAATACTTTCGTGGCACCACCACATTTTTGTTGGGCAGAGAATTGTTTTCGGGATAATGGATTTTACAGTTGGAGAAGCACACCTTGTGGGATTTGAAAATGCTAGGGCAGTCCTTGGTGCAAGTGATAAACGAGGGCCAGGATATGAAAGCCACTCTTGGACGTGGTAAACTAATCCAGACGGTTAACAAATGGTCTATTTCAAGACACGATTAAACTTCAAAAACTCAATGCACTACAATCGGCGCAACCTAGTAAAAATTATTCAACTTATAACTGCGCAGCAGCCACTGTGTAATCGTCACCACCTTCTGTTGCCAGAGCATTGAGGCAACTATCAGCGCCAATGTTGTCGGCGCTGATACGCATAATTCCAGTTCAACTAATAATATAACTAAACGAGCTTTGGATTTGCTGTATGGTCACATGATGTTTAGGTCAAGCGAGAAAAGAGGAACCCGCCACTGAATCCTCATCGATGAGGGATTGCCGTGATCCCTTTAATCATTTAAAGTCAAATGACTCCATCTAATTGGCCTAATCTGGCGCGGTATGAGCTCACCCAGGAATAAGTGATAAGCGGGCCATAGCCTCCAGTCAGGGGTATAGCAGTCATTTGCTTTGTAAGATACTTCAAATATTGCATCATCGCCTGTTGATTTATGCAAGAGGCTATCACATTAAATTACCCGCAGAAAGCATATGGGAAAGAATGTGCCGTCGCCACCTAGATCCTTGACTCATATATTTGTCGTGAGATTTATCGACAAATGGCATCTGTTCTTGGAAGTGCACAAGAACTAATTTGATAAGAAGACATATGGAGCTAGATAACCTACTATTATCCACCTATTTCTGTTTGAAGATTCTAGGGCCTTGAACATGATAGGGCGGGAGTCTTCAATTAGCCACATGAGCACACCTTTCTAAAAAGGGATAAATTAAGCATTGAAGATTCGGCCCGATATATGAGAAATTTCCCAAACTAGTGTGCTAGATACCTACAGTGTTCTCCCTTGCCCGTGAAATTCAAGCAGTAAATACGGCATAGAGGAACCCGTAAACCAAGACAAAGGGGGAACTGTGACTAAATTAAGAGCTAGGACCAGGACAAATTAGAAAGTCCATCTACTAGCATGAAAATTACAAAATTTTCTCACACTTGGAGTGCAAAGGCCAGAAGAAATTCGGCTCAGTAACGTTTTTGTACGTTGCTTGAACAATAATCTTGCCTCGATGTAGCTGGTTCGGTGGAGGTGGATACACGGCATTAGCACTGAGTCCTTGGCGTTCGCATTTGCAAATGGCTGCCGCGCCGCTTCTCGCTCACTACTCTCTGTAGCGAAGGGCTCGATGGATAGCACATGAAAATCCGCCCTAGTTGCCGCGTCGTGGCGCGAATACAAGCGCCAACATAGCAAAAGTATGGCAAGTTTCTGGCACGAGATCTGTTTATGCGCCTAATGAGGTTTCTTCATTAGCAGAGCCCTTTGTTTCTTATCACCTCCCTTGGTATTTGATCGCCGAGAAGCTTCCTAGATCTTGCTTTTGCGAAAAAGAGTTTACGATTGAATGTCCTTCACGAATTCGAGCACAGCCAGAACTTCCAGTGTGTTGCTTAATATCAATCTATTTCTAAATATCTCATCCTCCGACCTTCCTTAACCCGCCATAGGAGGATTTAGTACTCAAGATCTTTTGAGACTGTCGAAACAATCAAGTATGGAGCCTATTGAACCTCGACGCCAACTGTTGAAAAGATACTAGTAGGCCTCTCAATCGCCCTACGATCGCTTGAATAACTAATCCGACCTCTAGCTGTGATTTTGATGGTTACTGCTATAGGACATCATGGGATGTCTGGGGGCGATGGGTTGCATCAGCAATCATTGTCATCACAATAGTCCTTTTAGCCTTCCTTTTCTCGTAAGTCTACCTGTTTATGACCGTTATGACCCCGCATGGCTAAGTTGTAATAGGGCCCAGAGAAACCGTCGTCGTCGCAACCATGGACTCGCACCAATGTACGGCACAGGATGGATACCAGGCTCTAAGTTCCAGCAACAAAATAGTCAGAATCAGTATCCGCAGTATGGTCAACACATGGAGAATAACGTGCCAGCTCCCCCATATGCGCCAACAGGTACATCATATGCTGGTCAGCAACAGAACTGCGACACATACAACCATACTGGACAATATTCGAATGGTATCGAGCTGCAGCAACCACCAACCAGCTACCAACCACCACGAGTCGAGACGGTCTATGAGCCGCCCCACGGTCCTCCACCCGGAAAAGGTGATAGATAGCAAGTAAAGCTAAAGTTATGAAAATAATACTGTGATGAGCAAGAGTATCCTTAACGATGAGATTCTGTTTTGAGGCGTGCTGGAGTCGTATTCTGAAAGTTCTGGACATATGTGATTATTTATACTGAAAACTTCAAACATCACCCTAAGTTGTACAGTCCGCCACTCGCCAGAGGGTTAAAACATCTTCCTCGTACCGATGATTCTGCCATGCCCTCGAGAGTCAACAGCCCATAGAATGGACGCCAAAATCTGTGTTTAATCTATCATGTCTCAGGAGTATCAAATATGCTGCCTCAACTGCTGCAGTGATGGTAAAATCGGGACTGTGTTCATATTTCATCGTCGCATTAGGACTAGACAAAAAACTTCAAGTTTAATAACCTAGAATCGTAATGAGATTTTTCAAGGTAAACAATGTGCACCGAATAATTGCATTACAAGTTAAATTACACATTTGTTCTTTAGTAGCTGACTATCCAAAGGTAATACTAACCGGTGCATTTCCTCAAATAGACTCAGTAGCCTCTCGTGATATGTTCGTTTATTTGCACATGATCTTCTACATTTTCGTCTGTAAGGGTTATCCATCAGTCTCCACCCCAAACCCATTGAACCACGAACACACACATGAAGTTTCCAATTTGAACTTCCTGCCCCATATCAAAGGCTTCAAGCCCCTGATTTATTGGTCGATTATCAAGTTAGGTTGGACAATCCACGTTGTTTTCCTTTTATCGACTACATGTTTACCAGTAGATGCTCGGGCCTTCGAGTCAGTTGTCTCATCAGGCTTGATTCGGCTGGTCACCTCGTCATGTCAGTAGTGTTTTGAGTGTTCAGATGAGACACCTATCTTTACTACGGACCCCCTGAAGCTTCTATCTTTCTTCATCTGGCTCCCATTTACACAGAAATCTCATCGTCGTCCAACTACTTTTACATTCCTTTGTCGAAATAGATCTCTATCTCCTTTTAAATTTTATTAAAGAATTCGAATCATTAATCGAAACCTCAGTCCCTCAAATATCAGGAAAAGCAAGCTTATTTCCAACTAGACCGTCCCAGACGCTTTTAAAATCCTATGGAAGCATCGGGCCAGTGACAACTTTACATCTGGTTTTTTCCTGGTTTTACGACGGGACAATATAAACTACCGACAAAATGACATACATAAATGCAGCTATGCAAAGAAGTCTCAGAAGAGACACCGTAGGCATTCTGTCTAAGGTACTCGGGCCTAGATTGATCACGGAGCAAGTAGCTTCTGTTAAGAGCACCTTCTCTAGCTGGGATAACTGTATGACCCAAGTTTACTGCAAGTCTGTTGTCCCTTCCACGGCTATTCTTTTAAACTAACAAATTTGTAGATGGCCAGTTATTGTGGGAGTCCTTATCGCAGGCCTTATTCTTCTTTCTATTATCACATGCATTGCCCGATGTCTATGTTGTGGTTACTCTTGTTGCTGTGCCTGCTTTTCTTTTTTGAAGTGTTGTAGTTGCTGTGGTGGCTGCTGTGATGGAAAAAGGAGCAAGTCGATGAGATATGCCGACGAGCCTGCATACAATTCGCAAGGATACAAGGCTCCAGCGCCCATGATGGCAGTCGCGAATGTAGCTCCACAATATGCTCAATTCCCAACAGCGTCAAGTGGTCCAGCTGCAGAAAGAAAAGGAGTTAACGAAGACGCATTACCTGCGATGCCTAGCTGGGACTCGGCTTCAAAGGTACACGTGCCTGACGATGTCGAAGATGATAAAAATGATGAAGTGGAGGCTCAGCAGAACTCGTCCGTAGGGCAAAAGACTTCTCTTATCGCCGCGGCCGCTCCAATGGATGTCAGATCGCCAGGATATCAAAGAGAACGCGACGCTGCTCCGTTCGCTGCCAGGCCAAGCCCAAGTACGCCAGGTGGTATCGTTAACCGTCAAGATCCGCATAGAAGCCAAACGTACGGTGTTCCGACTAGGCAATATAATGGATCTCCAGGCCCAGATAATGGTTTTAGGGGTAGTGGAATGGGTTATGGGGGACCTCCAGCCCCCAGCAATCGAGGATTCATGCCGCCAGCGCAGCTCGCTCCAGATCAAGCCCGACAGCCGAGTCCGATAGGATATCGAAACACACCAAATGGGATGGGCTCACCGGGACCTAATGGCTATGGTTACAGCAACAGAGACCCTCAAGGAAGACAAGGCTCCATTGCTTCACAACAAGGACCTATCTATGCTGAACATCGGCAAGGCTCTCCTCACTCTTCTCAGTACGGAGCATCTAACGGCTACGCAAACAATGGTTTACAATCGCGAGGGCAACAAATCCAAGGTTCAAGGCCAGCGGGCTATCCTACAGACCGAGCTTATCAGCCATATTCAGCAAATAGATGATAAGTGTAAACCATATTGTGAAAAAAACCCGGACTACATATATTTATTATAACTTTTTTTTGAATACATCTTCCGATTGGATAGGCTTGGGGGCGGAATATAGACGATCATACGAATACTCTTATGATACCTATGAATAAGTTTGGCGTCGTCTGTTTTGTTATTTGTGAACATGTGTATGCGATGTCCTATATCTAGTGTATGATTCGATCACTGCAGGCAGTGGCTGGTTTATTTAAATTTTGTATAGGTTTATAGATTGAAGGCCGATGATTAGAGTATGAGGATGACTTGTTGGAAGTTTTACTCGCGAAAAGCTTTTCCATCGAATATTGGGCTTTTCAGATCACAGCACTAGTAAGTTTTTAAATTTGAGTAGTTGATATAGTAATAATGGTTTGACTGCTCAAAATATTATGTGGGTGTAAAACGTATGAGTGAAACTGATGTAGTGACAAGCTTGGCTCACACGAGCTACCGGGTACATGGACACATCCCCTGGGAAAATCAAGTTAGGTACCAGTCTCTGGGATGAGTTTGGGGGACAATTCTCAACAGCTGTCAGTGGTGTCCCCTACGAACCTCCAGCTCTCACTGTTGAGTCTGCAGAGCCGAGATTGAGCAAAAAAGTCCTCACCTCGATGAGGATTCACAATCGCTTTAGCGGTCTATATTGTCTTCTTCTCTCAACACAACCCTCTTTCACCATCATCATGGAAGAAGCCATCCGATGAGTTTCCGGAGCGTTCCCAGCACCCGGCACGGAGATGATGGATTGAATCAGGTCGGCCTCGACTGTTACAAAGAAGGGAGATATAGATGAATATGCGCACCTCATGTGGTCCCGGTGTCTAGGTCTCGCCTGGCTGGGGCTGCAGGTTTTTTGAGACTTTTTCCCGCGCACGCAATTCCCATTGCTACCAATTTTTATTTTGGGTAGAAAGCTCTGTGGGAAAGGTGGTCGAATTCTATGGGTAAACACGGAGGTGAATAGCTATTCATCAAGGGCAACATATCAAAGATCTTTGAAGTAACAAAAGACAGAAGCACTGCACAAGGTGTGGCCTGGGTCAGAGAGGAGCCCAATGTGCTAGATAGTCTTTGACTCAAGTAGTACAACAAACATACATCTCTCTTTTCAGCCTCCTTGCCGACGGTCGTGTAGGAAGTTATGCCGAGCCTTGGCAGTGTCGGCCAACACTGCTACCGCAAGAGTGCCGACCCATCATGGCTGGCGAAAACTCAAAGTGAAAGGTTTCGGCCCAGATAAGTTTCCTCCCGAGAGAAGGTAGCTCCAACACCTTTTCAGCGATGTCATCTACGAGCCTGCAGCTCTCACCGTAGAGTCTACCGAGATGAAGTTAAGCCTCAAACTAGCCAGGGGCACTTCTGTTGTCAATGCTTCTACGGCATTCGCCACTACCTTAATCGCTACAATGATTTAAGGCCAGGCTAATTCATGGCAGAAACTCAGACGACCCCTTCCGAAACCTCATCGCGACCTCCAATTTCTCACCTAGCGCGAAAACTAAGAGTCGCCTACGTGAGGTTGGAAGGGTAGAGACTGATATCTGTGAGTATCCGTGAGTCTGCTGCGTTCAGCTGGCCAACCTTTACGAATCCTTCAGAAGAACTATGTCTTCGGGTTTTGTGCTGGTGTCTGAATCAGCGGGCCTGTACCCCATGGTTTTCCCGAGCGATCCCGGCTGTCAGACGTCCATAGATGAACATAGTTTCGTTGGCTATAGAGCAGGGACTCGAGGGCGACTGATTTCTCAAATTATTTGATCAATTGAAGATACGGAGAGGGTGGTGATCTTTGACGAGAGCATTTTTTTTATAAATCATTTAATGTGTATTCAGCTATCTAGTTATGATACATGACCGGCGCTATATATACATATGGGATGACTCTTTTGAAGTTAGAGACACTCATACTCTGGATTTCATTTGCAAATACCACTATGAGGTATGTTCGCTTATACAAACAGTCGATCCTCCTCCGTAAGTACCTACCAGAGGGAAGTACAAAGCCTTTGATTATCCAAGCATGCCTTCGTCATCCATGCATACCAGAGCCGCGAGAAATGTGGTTGTGTTTTTCCGAATTTGAACCAGCGGTCTCCTGTCTCAAGTGGGATGTGTGTCCAAGCTATCCAGACTCTACTTGGCAGACCGGCCAACAAGATGTACCGCCGCACCATCCAGCCATGGCGGTGTTTATAGTGTCGCCTGCACTCTCGCAACCGAAGCCTTGGCACGCGCAAAGCTCAATTTGTAAAGACTCCTTGCCAAAATTCGAGATTTCACGCCTCTCGAGACTGTATCCAATCCTCTGCATCATCTTATCAACTTGTCCTGATCCCTCTCACATCCATCCCAAGGAATTGTCTTCCAGATTTGTGCGCCACGCTTTGCTTCCTCCGTCGGGTGTAAATATCGGCGTAGGCGTGTATCTGGCGACCAGCTAAGGCCAGAGAAAGTCGAAAAGGGGTGTAGTCATTGGAATGAAGATGTACTAGGTCGTACTTGTAAACTTGATGAGGCTTAGGTAGGAATCGATTTCGTTGGGAGTGAATGAGTGAGTGTTTATTGTCCTAAAAAGTCTACAACTATGTAAGGACATGTAGGTCCTTTCTGCCTACAGGCCGGGAGTATCTGTGCCTCTGGTAGTGTACTCCCTCCTATGCCTCCTTCACGACTTCTTTCCAGCAGTAATACCCCCACAGGTCTTCATTCGAGTACACACTAAGAGGAGCCGTTATCCCGTCATTATCTCCCCTCTCTAGCCAACGAAACGATGGCCATTTGCGGGTGTGTAGCTGTAGGGAAAAGTCTCAAAAACCACTGGGTGCAAGACTCTCCTGTGACGAAGAGTTCGGCCAGCCGGGCGCAGCAGACTTGTGTATACCTAAGAGTGTCTCTCAACCTTCCTAGCCTCCTCCTTACTCCTCCCCTGATTCATGTCGCAGGACAAATCGAAGGTCGTGAAAGAATGTCAGAAAAGTCTTGGTCAAGAGTGACCGTCGTGAAGGAGCCGAGCCTAGCATCCGAAAGTCGTTACGGACGTGGGGTCGTCGGGTAACTCATGTATTTCAGATGCCCTCCTGACTAGTAGATTCGGAGGTATAGATTAGTAGGGACGATACTATTGACGAGTCGAAATCTGCTTTTCTTGAGGGCGGAAAGGTCTTTTATTTTGCTTTCGTGGGCTATTTCTTCGCCCGCCGGTGGGTAGCACATGTTGTAATATAATGAGAGCTACTCTGACTGCCGTTGTAGCGTTTGGTACCGCATTATCTTTCCTCATTTCCAGCATCATCATCATCGTCTTGGTCGTCTTATGTGTTATCGGAAGCGTATCTTTGATGGAGGGGGAGATAACTCAGCTCAAAGTTGATAAGGTGTTACTCAATCTCGGCTCTACAGACTCTACAGTGAGAGCTGGAGGTTCGTAGGGGACACCACTGACAGGTGTTGAGAATTGTCCCCCCGTTGGGAGTGAAAGATTGATATGGTGGAGTAATTTGAATCATTGCCTCGTGGGCCAACTTGTTCGGTATTGCGAAGTTTGACTAAACTTGGCTCTGGGAGAATATTTCACCCCCAGGTTCGTATAGGACACCGCGTACAGGTGTTCAGTCTTGCCCTCCTGACGAGAGCATTGTAGGAAGCATAGGAGTTTGTAGACTTTGCCTGGCGCAGTAAAGCTTTTTCTGCAGTTCAAGGAGACCTAGGTGTCCTGCATAGGCATAGATCAGGAGGGCAAAGACTGAAATAGGCGGTGTCCAATACAAGCCTGGTAGTCACATATTCTCCCAGAGCCGAACTTAGTTAAAGTTCGCATTGCTACAGAAGTTGGCCTACAAGGAAATGATTAAGAATACTCTACCACGCCAACTTTTCACTCCCAACGAGGTCGAATCCTATCTAACCTCATCAATTCTAGAAATACGAGCCAGTACATCCTCATTTCAATGACCACACCTCTCGTCGACTTTCTCTGGCCTCAGCTGGTCGCCAAATACACGCCCACGCCGATATTTACACCCGACGGAGGAAGCAATGCGTGGCGCATAAATCTGGCAGACAGTTCTTTAGGATGGACGTGGGAGAGACCATTACAAGTTTACGAGATGATGCTATGGATGAATACCATCTCGAGGGCGTCAGATTTCGAATTTTCAGAAATGAGATTTACGTTCTGAAGAGTGATGTGCGCGCCGAGCTTTCGATTGCGAGAGTGCAGCTGACACTAGAAAACAAGCAAACGATGGAAGGTGTTGTGGTCTATCTTTTGGTGATGTTCTCTGGTATAGTTTTTCCCTCACTGTCCATAAGAGCACAGCATAAAGTTAATAAGTAGGAACTTACAACATGTAGCTAGTATCTTATTTGTAGATTCTAGGGGTCCTCAATAGTCATTGACTCAGTTAGGACTATAATACAAATCTAATCTAATCTAATCTGGTATAGTTTTAGTAGCCTGGGCACCTACTCCATTTGGGAAGGTGACTTCTAAGATCACACTTCGCGCGGAGGAAAGTTGAAAGATGGAGGCATGTCTGGGTAACTCAGGGTTTTTGACACGTTCCCCTGGGTGGGTATTCATGGATGAGGGTTTACTTGGGGTGAAGAAAAAGCCACCATAACTTCGCAGTGGTACTTGCAAATGAAATCCGAGGCATGGAGTGCTCTTCTTCTGTATTGAGTCATACTTTCTATTATTTTTCTATCACAATGTGTCATAGACAGAAAGCCGCATACGTAATTAAAATCTGATGCGAAATTTTAGAATGGTGCAGACGACAGAGAATCGTGGTGTTGATGAACTGTAGATGATTTAACAACTTAATATTACTGGCCTGTTTACATGATCCATGCCAGATCCAAATATATCAACTGACTGCAGCTTCACAAGCCCCTCATTCAGTTTAGTGTGTTGTGCGATAATTGTGGACAAGTTATGCTAGCTATAATTAGACCGGGAAATTTACCAAGTCGAGTTGATTTATGCACGGAACAAGGGGCAGCCAACCTCAGCGGATAGTCAAAGGTTTAGAAGAGTCAAGGCACACCTGACGGCAGCAAGACAGGGAAAAGTGCGGCCGGATGAGCAGCATCAGGGTAAATTGGAGTATCTACTGCTTGCTAGTGAGAGCCTATTTACGAGTCTAATCCCTCCCTTACATGGAAAAAAGCAGGAGAGACAGCTGCGCTTCCCGAGCGGGATGATGATCTGCGGCAAAGTTTATAAGCTTTGCGAGTCTAGGCTCATATCATTAGACCGGCCCGATGCCTGTCTCTGACCAGCTCCAATGTTATTCACTGTGACAGGGGCATGGGAGAGCGCTGAGTCGTAGCAAGATGAAGGAACTCTTCTCGTTTATGCTGCGAGTGCAATCACGCCTGCTAGCTGAGAGCACAGTGTCGTTGGTGATTCCGCACACTGGTAGATGTGCCCAAGCTTTGCTGACGCCGTTGAGATTGGTTATTCAATGCGTGCGATTCGTTCGGGCCCCAATGTGAGAGAAAGACCGGCGGGGAACACGGAGCGTAGCCACATGCCAAGCTTAGTGTGGCATGAGATAAATCTTGTCATCCCTGTCCAGGAGACCTCGAGTTCGTGAGAAGTTGGAGTGAACATTCACGAATGAAAATGGATGTTGTCGCGTCAGCAGTCTGCTAAAGGTAATGACGCTGGGCAACTTCCAGATCCGACATCATTTTTGAGACATTAATGAAGCCCTGCAATGAAAGATGCTTGAGCTGATAGATCTTGACAAGTGCGTAAACGAGCTATTCGTGCTCACCACCGGCAGGTCTGAGCGTGGCCGATTTGCGAGATACGGTCGCGCGTAACGCGCAGGAATTAGGAGCCTGATCAAGCCATCTTGACACCCTTGCTAGAATCTGCAAAGGTCAGTCATTTGTGCAACTTTTTCCCATGGGAAGCTCATGATTGGCATGGCTGACCAACGTTGCTTACCGAGATGATTGAGAGCTCGTGTGTCGTTTGTTGCGGCTGACCGTTGTCTTTAGATCCAGGTGCAATTTTGTAAAATTATCAGCAATTACCATCACTTACTCGTCATCATTCGCACTAAGACTTGATATCCACAATTCTCGAAACCGAAAGTATAGATTAATTTCATCCACGGCAATAGAGAAAGCCTTGACAGTTGCCAGAGCCAAGAAATACCAACTAGATCGCGGGTCGAGGGTTTCGCACAGCTAGGAAAAAGAAATTCGTCTGCGCTCTGACTAAGCAGATGGAGTAGAAGCGAGGCTGTCATCCATTCAGGGTAATGTTAGCTTGCCCCTCCCCAACCCAATCTCAGCTTACCCTAAGACATCCTCCCCATCTAGTTCCTCTACTCCGCGCTATCGCCGATGAGAGCTATTACGAAGGATAGCACGAATCCCCGCGCACAATGATCGATGAATATGAGAAAAGCCTCGTTGTCCAGTGCGCATCTGAAATTAGGTCCATGTAAGTCACAAGTAACCGTTTCGCATCCGTTTTTACCCGTCTCGCATCTGCCGCGGAGACACTGACTCTCTGCGGAACAAAGGCGCAAGGACCAATTAAAGTCGGCCCTGAATCTGATATGCAAATGCAGGTGCGTGAAGATGGCCCAATTTCGCCAGTCCATTTCATCCGACGTACTACCCAATTCTCACCCCTCAGAGCCCTCTTCTTTTGAGTCTTACCCACGAATCAGAGTTGGCCGGAAATCACTCTCTGCATTTTCACCCGCAAAATCCAGATGACTCCAACAAAAAAATCCTCACGTCTTCGACGCATGAGCCGCTTCCTCCCACAGTTAAATACCGAAACTAAGTCACAACAGCATCTTCAGCCAGCCATCCCACGAAAACCTGTGCCTTCGCAGCCTGTTGAGCCCCTTGCTGCCCGTCGAAGCGACCCCGTAAATACTGGCTCTCCCCTCACACCACGTCCAGACGTGTCACCCGAATTATGCCCCGGATCATCGGCCAAGTTGCGGAAGCGTCCTGGGCTCACAACATCGGGCTCTCTAGCGTTATCAACAGAAGATGTACCCAAATCGCGTGCTGCTAGTTGGTACTCATATGCGGCGCCGGATTCTGCCGAGGCTCGGTCAAATCCTACCTCGCTCAATGTGCCCGGCATGGGAGGCGAGGTAGATAAAGAACCCACCAGTGCGAAGTTGAGAAAAAGTTGGCTTCCAGGCAGCAGAGCTCGGTCGGCTCGAAACAAATCTCCTGACCAGATAGATGAGCTTCCAGCATGGATCAATGCCGGAAATTCCAAAATCCAGTATAACCTTCAATATCTTTGTCAGGGAGAAGAGGTAAGTCTCCTTGCGCTATTATTCAATCAACCTATCTGACGGGCAGTAGGTTCCCGAACTCTGGAACGAGACGGCAGATACGTTGGTCTACCTCTGGCCTCGAGAAACTGGTCATGGTCCTCAATTTCGTGTGCCATATTCTATTCTCCAATCATCCCGAAGATTGTGCAACCGTATTCGAGACAATCAGCCTTTAGTCCTTGACATCTGCGATGAATCACTCAGTCTCCGCATCGAAGAGTGTCCTCAACAGAATATCGGGACACCTCCGTACACTCCGAATCAGTGTTCTGGACCTGGAAGTATTCAATCCAAAGGCTCCCTAAATTCATTAGATCAATCTTGTATTCACCATTTATACTTTCCAATAGACCTAAGCTCACAAGAGATACCTTGCTCGCCAAATGATAGCCAAAAGCTCGTCGACGTTCGTAATCTCTTTGCACTTCTCACAAGTCAGCCGCTAGTGGCAACCCCAATGTGTCCATCAAACTTCAAGACCCTCCTCGCAGTTTCAGTGCTTCTAAAAGAATTTGATTTTAGTAACGAAGATGGGAGCTCTTTTGGCACTGCTGTCGATTTATCTTTTAGCTTTTGTCTAAAAGAGTTACCCCAGCTAGCAGATTGCCGTGAGAGCAATCAGACTACTATTGAAGCTCTAATACTTGCTGAGGCCATGAAATCCACCGAACTTTACAACGAAGCATTTGCTCATGCAGTTGGTAAATATTCTGCACTAGTCTCACCCAAAAGCAGCGGCCGCCTAAGCTTCATATCTCCGTTGACACGCAATCGTCTGGAAAAATCATATCGAGATCTTAAACAGAGGGTTAGAGCAGTCAATGATCGTCTGATCGACTTCGAATTCCCATCCCTATTCGCAGGAATTGCCGCTTCAAATACCATGGCTGAGTCAAAACTTGTTCGTTTTAAGCAGTGGAGAGTCAGTTTTGCAGCATTCCGGAAACATGTTCTATCATATTACAAAGAGCTACATGGCCAGTGGCCCCCTAAAGCAAGTAGTAAGAAGAATAACTTTATAGAATCCGGCCTAAACCGTATGGTCTTGAAAGCTTTTTACAGTGATTTATGCGATTTATACGACTTCCTCGCAGATAGGGAATCTCTGACGACTAGGGTCTACGACGGGGATGGCGAGGAAGAGTCAGTTGCCACTGCTTCTTGTGCAACAGCTCTTCGGAAACTCTTAGATGAATATGACCGATCTTCACCGCCAGTACAACCACCTATTCCGTTCGACATTTCTCTTGTCCCATCAATTGGGTCCATTGAACCTACATTTCATGGCCTCGGACCCATGGACCAGTATAAAAAAATGCACCAGAAACTCACGGAGAGTGAGGTTGGCTTGATACTCGCCAAAAGTCACAATTTGGACTCAGATTATAAGACTCCTTTTATCGAGGCTTTTAAAGCTTTCGAATTAAAGGAAGGCAGAGGAAGGAGCGCAGCGGAGCTATCCGAACAACGACACGGACACTGGATTTTCTTGTACTCCTGCATCCAGGCACTCCCACTCTTGGTGACAGATGCTCCTGGCCTTCAGTATACAGATGGTGTTGAGTATTTTCTTTGTCAAGTTCCACTTGGTAATCTTCCATGGGTTGAAGACCAGTCACAAGTTAAAATGACTTGGTTTGGAGTACAAGGTGGTCAACAAATTGTATCTTTACCCAGCGACGTTGTTCATCATGGAGTTGAGGCGACATATCGTCGGTCTCATTGCTGGGTGGCTGCTGAAAAATGGATTGCGTCGGAGCAAAATAGCATCATGTCAGAGCTTCAAGAAGATGAAGACTTTTCCCCATTATCCCCACCTCCAGGATTTAGTGGCAGTAGCTTTGGTTTACGTCAGGGTACTCCGACGCAAGAGAAAAACTCGGAAACGGTGTCGCGATGTAGCAGCCGGAATTCTTGCTCTAGCACAAGTCAACTACAGGTGCGAGGTCGAAGCCGACAATGTCCGCGAAATAGTATCATACTCGGTCTAGAGCGAGTTCAGATTGACTTTGATGGAAATCAGTTCCAAGGAAAACCTGGATCTCGCGGTAATTCGCCCGTCAGCTACAACTGCCGATCACAAAGCCGGACTGGTGAAGGCACTGAGAGCCGCGATCTTGGAAGTAGCACGTTTGATGACATCTTACATAGCATGGTTGCAGACAAACAAGTTGTACAGTCTAAAAATGAATCTGTCAAAGATGCGAAAAAACGTAATCGATACAAACGATAATTTTCCGAAACAGGCCTAGAATTCTATTGCGTGTGCGATGACGGTTATACCATATGACGAATGGGTGGGACGGCTAGCGACATATTGACTGGCGTTTGTGATCGACCTTGTATAATATTATTACTAATCAGTCGGAACTAATTTCCTGCAAATGCACAACTTCTGTCGTAGTTTTTGATTGCATCTTTAATTTTCTATGCGTTTTACGGCTTGAGCTGTCAAAGAAGTTGGTTAGATTCACTCGTAGTAACTATGTTTTAACTTTAGGTGTTTTAGGGGGAAAACCTGCATCTTTGTTCGTTAGAAATGCATATCAAACCAATTGCAAGAGTATTCGTGGCTGATGCCCTGTGTCAACATATGATTCTGAGCATTTTGAGCCAGGGCTTTGCCTTCGTAACTAGCTGGACACGGCCGACCTCGCCTGAGCTTATGATGACTCTTGAATTTCCTAGCCGTGGAGCAAATCTCGATGTGCCCGCAGCCCTAGCTAAAAATAGAACTATCCCATGCATACCAGAGCCTGCTTAGAGATATCGAGTTGCAGTGATTCCTTATGAAGTATAGGACGCAGAAATGATTGGTACCCCAGCTGCTAGCAGTATCCCGCGGCCAGGCAATGACGCTACGTCCATGTCTAGCCTTTGTGTTCTGACCTCTGGAAGGAATTCAACGAATGAGTCTTGAAAATACTGATGGTTCATCGCACCATTTTCTTTTTGTCTTGCGTGAAAGGGTCGAGTGAAAGCGGGTCAAGGGCTAAGCGCTTCGTGGGGAGCTCTGAAAACGTCAATTATGGGCCATCATATGCGATGGAATACCAGGACTCCTCTTATATCGAAGGTGTCCGAAAGAGGAAGCCAGTAATCACGAGCCCTGCTCGATTGGTCTACGGCTACAATGCACGGAAGGTTCCTTCGTGCACTAGACGCTATGTATTACTACTGTAAATGGATATGATGCCCAATGATTCGGAGCTTGCTGTGGAGCAAATTCATGTCCTCGCAATCTACTCCAGCCTTTATTGACTGCGCCCTGATCTAGTGGTGACACGAACTTATTCCTACTGTTCAATCAGACAGAACTTCAAGGCTGAGTGGACCTAGATGTCCAAAATAGTCACAGAGTGAGAGAGTACAGTGTATCTATGGACGTAAGTGGTCATATTGAGTATATAATCATTTCAGGACACGTCGGTCCCTTCTACCTACAGCCCACAAGTGTTTATGCCTCCTCCATGACATCATTCCAGCAGTAATACTCCCACAGGTCTTGACCGGAGGACATATTCAGAGGTGCTGCTATTCCATCATCATATTCCCTCTCAAGCCGTGCATAGGCCATCTGCAGCTGTTTGACAGCCAGGAAAAGTCGAACTACTGGGTGCGGGGCTCTCCGACCAATGCAAGAAATAAATCCAAGGACATCGCCAACCCTCCGAAGTATTCAAAGAGACCGGCCCGATGGCTGTCATAGACTCGTGTATATCTTGGAATATCAAATCTCCCTCCCCAGCCTCATTCCATCAATTGCATCTCAGACCAAACTAAAGACTGTGTTTAATGTCGGAAGTCTTACTTTGCAATCGTAGGATTTTGAGAAAGTACAATTGACGAATGACCCAATGATTTTATTATCGTTCATCTGCTACCTTGTAATTGATGACTAGGTATGATTGATGAATAATGAGCTACTAGTTTAGGAATGGCGTAAGGAGAGAGGGGTAACTACTGTGGATACACCTTTGCTGGTGAACAATAGACCAGAATTGGGCTGGATGGTGCAGTGGTACATCATCCTGGCCGTTCTTCCAAGAAGATCCTTGGTAGCTGGAACACCTACTGTAGTGGTGTTACGCCACATCTCATGCGTCATCCTACACATGAGAAATTAGCTAGTAACACACAATAAAACCCCCCCCCCCCGCTCACTGAGGAAGAGATATTTCGCGCATGCTATCAGGTCTCGTCTACAACCCCAGGATCTGACGAAATAACCCCGAATTCTCTCCGTCAAGCATGGCCAATAATTAGCAATAGGGTGTCAGCTCTCTTCCGTCAGTGCGATAAGCTAGGAGTACATCCGCCGGCCTTCAAGAAGTCCACAGTGATTATTCTTCCAAAAGCAGGAAACCGTGATCTCACTATCCCGAAGTCCTACAGACCAATCTCTCACCTTTCATGCCTGGGTAAAGGCTTTGAGCGACTAATAGCTCGGCGCCTTTCATTCATAGCGCTGAAATATCGGGTACCGGCTAAAGACTAATGCAGTGCCATTCCTCTTCGATCGGCTGCCGACTTTACCACAACTTTTGCTTGTGAAATCCAGGCAAAATGGATGGAAAAAAAGTAGCTGATATAGTGACTGTTGATATCCAAGAGGCATTTGATGGTATCCAGAAAGGACGAATTTGCCATAGACTTCGAAGCCAAGGATGTCTATTGAACGTGGTTCGCTGAGTGGCATCTTTCGTGGAAGAGCGGGAATCCACAATCTCCATCGAAGATACTACATCACCGCCCTTCCAAACTCGCTGTGGTCTCCCACAAAGGCTTACCTGTATCCCCAATTCTATTTCTTCTGGCTATGGAAGAGGCACTACGTCTCTCTACAGGTCGCTTTGGATATGCAGATGAAATTGCCCTCTTCGCGTCCGGATTCTCCCTCGTCAAATGTGCACGCAAACTCCAGGAAAAATTAGACAGCACCATCGCATGGGGGTTTAAAAACGGAATTAGTTTCGAACTTCCTAAGACTAAGCTCCAATACTTTTACCGGAAGCGAGGCTCATCACTAGAGACTACACTAAATATTGGAGAGACGACTACAACGCCAAATTATCACACTTGCTGGCTTGGAATTTTCTTCGACCGGACTCTCCGATTCCAATTTCATACCCTACAGGCTTGCCGAAAGTCTCTAGCTATCACCAGCCATTTGAAAAGACTCTCGACGACGACTCGAGGAATTAGCCCTCTTTTTCAACGACAACCTCTGCAAGGTGCCGCATTTGTGACCCTTTCTACGAGGCCGAGACCTGGTACTCCAAAGAGACATCTCAAAAGACAATCTCGCGACTCCAACCCAGGATCAACGACTCAGCTCGGGCAGCCCTCCCAGTCTATCGTACAACACCAATAGCAGCACTTCTACGAGAAACTGGCTGGGCCCAGCTCAGACATGGCTCTCCCGAATTCACAGTCGTCTAGCGGCTCAAATTGCGACAGCAGAACCGTGCCACCTTCTTCGTAGTCGTTGGAATACTAGTCGCATACGCTGGATCTGCCAGAGGATCCCGTTAGAACTTTTCGATGACACTATACCCCCACCATGGTCGGCACCCCGTGAGGAAAATTTAATCCAAATTGGGGCAGTAGGTAGACTCCTGGGACCAAATTCCTTCAAACAATGGCAAGCTACACGACATACCCTAGACTTGTTCGTATTCTCAGATGGAGCTCTAATGGAAGACCGAGCAGGTGCGGATTATGTCATTTACCGAGGCCCTACGCAGGAAATAGGGCGAGGATCACTCCCGCTCGGAAACTCGTCGGAAGTCTATGATGCAGAAATTGCCGGGGCCACGGAAGGTCTTGCCGCAGCTATTCGCAACCCACTGGCCTATTATGCCTCTAACGTTACTGTCTGCCTTGGCAACCAGGAGGCTGCCATCCGTCTGCTCTTGGATACGCCCAAAGCGTCTAGCTCGGCAAAAATCTTTAACTTCCGCAAGCTCGCAGTGAACCGGAGAAGGAGGCCATGCGGACAAAATACGTCGCCTAGGGAAGTAGCTGTTCTATGGTGCCTAGGCCTCGCAGGTATTTTTGGAAATGAAGTTGCCGACGCTCTCGCTAAAGCTGCCTGTGCAGCTCCAGCTCTACACTCAGAACTCTCCGTTGCAAAGATCTACTCCTTGTCAGAACAAAGCTACGCCGCCTTATAGGCCGGCCGGAACTCATCAAGGATATCCGGATAGTACCCATAATCGTAGCCCTAGCGGCTCTAATTCACTCTCAAGCTCAGGAACTACTTGAAGCAGCGATGGATCTCAAACCTATCACCGGCGAAGCACCAATGGAGCGGCAGGAAAAAAGAGTAAACCACCTACTTGGCCCAATACCTAAATATGGATACAACGTGTGGGGTAAACGCGAGGCCCTTACATATGAAGGCATTCGATAGGAGCTTGAATCAGAGAAAATAAGCCACGATTCTTGTAGGAAGACTCTTGCGCACAGTACCCCAATCATTATTGGAGTAAACTTAACCCTGAAACAATTAGAATGGTTCCGGAGATGGTAAGAATGACATACCAAGTATGAGCATGAGTTAGAGTTATGATGAATTTGTTTAATGTACGATGAAGTCTACTGATGTTTAATTGATAGTTAATTGTAAAGAAATTGCTATAATTCTATATGTGTGGCGACAAGTCTCTCTATATACATGAAAGCGGCGTTTTGCGCACACTAATGTGAACTTAAACATATTTCCTAATCTCACCTAAATGGGAAGGTTGTTGGAGATCCTGAAGCCAATGTATGCCGTCAGGCATCTATTGGCTAATTATTATTCATGCCAGTGAGTGATGATATGGGTTAATCATATCTCATGGCGCCAGTGCTTTTTATTATAATATGTACTATTTGTCTACTGCAGTCATGTTGCTGCCTTAATTACGACAGCGTCACGGTTCGAGTGTTGATGCTGGATCAATCAGATATACGAAGGTAGTTTATAATTTTCATTATGGCTAACTATCAGAGTATTACTTCAACTATTTATACATTTATGAAGATCTCTAGAATACTCGTTCTTGGCTGATATCTGCTTCTCGTATATTCCAGTCATATTAGTACCCAGTCATGCTACCAATTACTAGAATATTCCAGTTACAGCTGAGCTGATCTAGAATAGAGCTAGACTACTGTAGAATTATAGAAGCGCGTGAATACAATCACGTGCCACACAACAATCGGCTCACAAGCCGTTACAGACAG